AAACACTATTATCTTTTAGATTACTTAATATTAATCGTAATTTTGATAAATTTATATCACAATGAAACACGTTTGCAAAAACATTTGTAGCAAAAAGAATAACCTAAAAATAAATTACAAAATCAAACCAAAAAAAAAAATTTCCTCAATAATATTATCATAAATGGGTGTAGATAAAACGTGCATTTTTATCTGACTAAAAAATCAAGGTTAAAAAACTACCTGCTATCATGAAACCTTGATTTATCAGACATATTCCTCTATATTCGCAAAATGTTGCACTTACATAAAATTTAACATAAAGAAAAATTAGAATAGGAAAAATTTAGTCATACATAAATTACGTAAAACAAAATTATTTTAAATGCAGTTTGATTTAAATTTATTTAATTACTTTTTGTTTTGCTTATTTTTCTAAAATATATTTTAGTTGATATTTTATCAATAGTTTAATTGCATTATTTCACCGTAACCGCAACCATAAAATTATTCATTTTAAACAGGCTTTTAAATAAAAATTTATAATGTATTTTTTTATAAAGCTTGTCTGAGTATTTTTCTTCAATATTTATCACTTATACTCGTACATATATAAAGCCTATAAAGTTTAATATTTGTGTTATATATAGACATTTGTATACATAAGTAATGAATATATTATTTTTTATTAAATTTTTAATATTATATATATCATACTAAATATTAAACTTTATAAGTTTGTAAAATAAATATTTATTAAACTTTATTTTGTTATATTTATCGACAAATTTGCGAAAAAATAAATAAATAAATAAAACACGTTTTAAAATATAAATCAGTCCTTATTAATAGATTTAAAATTTGTAAGTTGAATTTAAAAATTATCGTGACGATTTCATAACATTTATAGTTTTATTTAATACAACAATAATCTCCAGTTTTAAAATTGTGTATGGCGCTACTGTTATGATATTTTATTAAATACTTTTCATATTATTAATTATTATAAAATACCCAAAAGCTTGATTTTGAGGGTAGAGACGAGTTTTATTAAAAATTGCAAATGCAAATAACGAGTAGAATCATCATTAAGTCCAACCCCACTCGAGATATGATAAGTAATCACTTTATCTCCTCACCCCTCGTCTTTTTACCACTAAAATTTAATAGCATTAATTCTCTTAATATACAAACCTTCCTGCAAAATTTCTGAAATTTTCAAGAAAAACACGGGCGTTATTAAGCTTCAAGTTGGTAAACAAAATTGTGCAAACGCACACCAACACTCATTTACACAAAAAAACCCATTAAATTTTTTTGCATTTCTTGACGTTTCAAGGTCCCGAATCCAAAAATGTAAAAATCTTGGGGATCATTCTTAGGCCGATCGCCATACTTTCTCTCTATTATATATAACAACAGGGAAAGTAAAAATAATCAGATTTTAATTACCTAAGTTTACAATTTATGAAAGTGAGATATATGGAGAAAATTGCAAGGTAATATTATAAATTTTTTGCGTACTTTGAATTTTTATATATTATTGAACCAGAATGTATAAGTAGTAAATAAGGAAAATGATTTGTTTTCCGTATTTTTAGTTACTGTATATTTAAAGCTTGAAATTGACCAGCAAGTTTTTGTTTTCAAGCTTTACAATATGAAAGTCATCAACCAGAGAAATTTATCACTTCAAACTATGGTTACTTAATCTTTTACTATAAAACATATGTGATAAAAAGAATGATTTTTAATAAATATTCATTCAAAAATAAAATCGCATTTAAAATTTATCACTTGTACAGTACACATATAAAGCCTATAAAGTTTAATATTTGTGTCATATATATAGACATTTGTATTCTTGTAAAATTTGTTTTTGGTTGATATATTTTTCTGGTTTTTCATCTATAATATATCTCCGAAGTAATTATTTAACATTTAGATTAGCATTCCTTACAAAATTTACAGAAATTAAATTCTTTATTCTTTGTTTTCATTAATGTAATAGTATAAAGTCTTGTTTTTATCTTAGATTTTTTAATCAGTTAACTGTAAAATGAATAAAACAGGATAAGCAATTACATTAGTAGGCTATACAAGGAACTTTATCTTATAACAAATGATTCACAAACAATAATTTTCCGATTTAATCACTTATAATCTTGAAAATTAAGACAATTTATAGTAATGATAATGTTATTGAGGCTTCAAATATATTTTAAATCTATATTTTATCTAAATTGCATTTTAAATTTTAAAAAATATTCTGAAATATAATTTTGAATATACTTCATGTTAATACAGATTAACATAGCAGTATAATTAAACAGAAAGTAGCGGATGTAAAAATGATTTAAAGATTAAAAATATATTAAATAGGCCTATATAAAGCATAAAATAATTATTTTAACGCTATTTGAGTATAATTTTCAAAAAAGACATGAGAACAAAACAACTGTTAAACAAAAAATAATTTAATTAAAAACTCGATAAATGCAAGATAAATGTGAAGTTCCTTTTAGTAAATAACATTTAGTAGGTTGATTGTAGTATCATTTAAATATATTTTGATAATTACGATTGATAATAGTCTATGAGAACAATATTTGTAATAGGAAAAATTGTGTAATGCATATTATAGTAGTTGTAAGTTTACATTTGCAAATCATTATAGAAAAAAATTTCAATATTAGTCAAAGTATTTTCAAATTTGAATTTTAATTAAATTCTATATATTAAATGTAGTTGACTAGTTATATATTTAACCCAACAGCATTTATAAGATGGCAATTTGAATTATTATTATTTTTTTTTTTTTATTAACCAACTTGTACTGAATTACAGGGTATTTTAAAGGTAGGATGAGATAGATAGTTAGCTGTTGGTTAGGCTAGAATACACTTAACCCATCAGTAATCTAGCAAAATCACTTATCCATTTATCACTGTATAGATCCTAATAATGCCAGATTAGTGATAGTCAACCTGTGTTTATCAAGTTTGCTTGTTATATTGAAATAGCAACTCTATATATATAAAAAATTACTGTATAAATACAAAGCATTTTTATGGCAAAACTCCATCACTAGATTGATTCTCTAAAAGTAGAAATTTAGCTGCTTGGCTGCAAGTATTTGAAAAAAAACACAAATATCAATATTTAGAATATTGTCATTTTGATATTTAATCTATTTTATTTATATTTTCTTTTCACAAATAATCAAGAATAGTACTATATTGCTAAAATGTCAAAATGATAAAAGCAATTTCCAGATGGTGAATCAAACTTTTTAATTTGTTCTAGAACTCTGAATCAATGCTGTTATTAATGAATAATTTGATTGAATAGTTTGTTATAAAAGTAAAAATTTATTATTTAAAATAAGTACTAAAAATATGGTGTGGATCTTAGACATTTATCTATTGTCTTTCATTAGTTTACAATTACATAACTATTATATAACCTTAAATTTTTAAGCAAAAATATTTACTTGTATAATAAATTAATGTTAAAAATTTTATTTTTTGTTTGCATATTATTTAATCTTAAGTTACTGTATTTTCAAGCATATAACTTGTGGATTATGTTCAAAAGTTAATTTCAAGGTGTGTGGTCATGCAATAGATGAAGTTATAATCCAATTTTAAATTGCAAGTACAAACTTTCATCTAAAGAGCAATGGTTTTCAAAGTTAACAATCTATGGACCACTTAAACCAAGTCACAGATGAACTGTGGACCATTTGTTTTTTCATCCACTTTTTATCCTGTAAATAATGATAGACAAAATATTTTGGTACACAATCTATCCCATAGCTTNAACAATTATAATATAATGATATTTTAATCATAATATTCTTAATTGATTTCAGAAAGATTTTTTTAAAGTTTATTATTACATAATAAACTCTGCTAATTAAATTACTCATAGTAAGATACAAATGCAATTAAAGTATTTATCCAATACTATAACAATAGCATTTAAATTCTTTATAAATAAGTTTCAGCCAGGAAAAAATATTTTATTCTTTTTAAAATGCAAATTATGATTTATGCAATACTGAATAATTGATTATGTTCGTGTAAGTTTACAACCAAATTAAGTTTATTTATTAATACATAAAAGATGTACAATATAAACTTACCAGTCATATGTTATTAATAGAAATTGTAAAATTTAAATATAAACAGATGTCAATTTACCTTTTAGTATATTATTCAGCAATTTTTTAAAAAAAATTAATTATTAATTAAATAATTATAATTTTACATACATCCATGATTCATCTTTTAAATATGAACTGAATATTTCTGTCTCATTACAAATAAATAAAATAAAATTAATAGTTAATAATAACAGTGATGAATGAATTGTTTAAAAACAAGATTAACTTTGCGCTACGTAATGACATATGTTTCAATATGAATTTATACAGTTGTAGTTAAAAAGCATAAAATAGGTTAATTTTTCTGTATAGGAAAAGTTAAAAAGATTAAAAATTTGAAAAATTTATAGTTACAAATATATATTTATATGTAGCATACACGTAAATATACTTTATATAGATCTATTATTTACGGCACGCAATTTTCGCAATGCCAACTTTAGACAAAGAAAAGAAAAAATAAAATAAAATAACGATAATAATTGTAAATTCTTTATCTAAACAGTATACAAAGCATATAACCGTTCAGTATGTGCATATAAATATATCGTGTTTCGATAAAGTTTTATATTTATAAATATAACAAATGTTAGAAGTCAATTATCGTAAATGTTCTCATAAAGATGCATAATACATGTAAATGCTGGGAAACTATAATTAAACGCGTTACACATGTAAAATAGCTATAAAGTAAATAATGGCTTATATCATAAATAGTAAAAATGTTTTTAATTAGATATATTATTATTATTTCTAAATAAAAAATGAATAGACGAATTAGTTTAAATTCTATATTAGTTATGTAAAAATACTTTAATTTATTTATTTTACTTTTTTTTTTTTGTAATTTTAGAAATTACCGCCAGGTTGTGCTGGTCATCGCAGAGGATGGAGTTTACTCGTTGGATTAATAATTCGGAACGATTTGATGTCCATTTGTTATTAGGTATGGTGACATCTTGAATTGCTATAATAAAAAACATCCATGTTATGAATACAGCATATTATGATTCGAATATATCCACCAAATTTAAACTGATGTTAGTAAATAAAGTTGACCTTCGACGTTAAGCCTTCTTCGAGGACGATGTCAAGTAAGTAACAATATTTAATTAATTAAATTTCATTTTAATTGATTTGAAAATGATAATCAATTACGATTTGCATTATTTTTGCTATTTTACACATCTTGCACTCGGTTTCAAATATAATTATTATTAAAGTCACTTTCTTTTTCATATTACAATATATTTACTATGTTCAAATGCTTATATTTTACTTAAATAACATATTTTGTATATGTAAATTTAAACGTCAGTTATCAGCTCATCGTTAAGGTAAAATAAGGTGATTTACAAGGAGCAGGTAAAAATATGTTATACCAAAAGAAGCTAAATTCAAATAATAATAATAAATTTATTATTATTATTATTATTTACTGTTACTACTATTTTTTTTTATTTTATTTTTAACTCTCTCTGCCCTATGGGCACTAAGGCCTCTTTTAGCAGGCCTATTATGGGTTTGGCCAGTCCAACAATGGAGCGACTGGTGGTGAGGGATGGGACCCAACATATCCGAACTGACCACCACCTGAAAAATTCCTGGGGATTTCTTGATTTGTCAGAATTCAAACCCAGGTCCCTCAGAGCAGTAGGCTGCCACCTTGATCGCTCGGCCATCCAGCTGTCCTGTTGTTACTACTAATAAAGATTAAGTAATAATTGCAATTCATTGTAGAATGCAAAATTACTCATTTTTAAGAAATGCTTTCTTGTTTTCCTAATACTTATTTGCAGTTTCATCTTTCCAGCAAATGTAATTTTACAAAAAAATAAAATTTATAATGCTTCATACACATGTGTAATGTGTATGTAATAATATATATAAATCAATAAGTTTTCTAATTAATCTATATTTATAATTTGACATTTTTTATAAGAAAGTTTCCGCTAGATTTGTTTCTGTAAGAGATTATTATTAGAATGTTCGCTCTTAATATAGATCAGGATTTTCCTGTATACATATTTTTTCTTAAGATTAATTTTAGCATTTATTTGTTGCACTACTTTTAAACATTTTTTAAATGATAAAACTACCTGTAGTTAGTTCAACATTTTATTGCAAAGTTTTTTATTAATTTTATAACATTTATTGTGTTGATATTTACCATATATAGTAAATATGTTATTTTTAGTTATTGAAGTTTGTTTTTTTGAATAATAAATTTTTGACTATTATTTATGAACTAGAATTAATTCATGTAGATTAATACATATTATAACAATTTTGATATGTGACTAAATTTTTCTTTTTCTAGAAGAAAAAGTGTAAAGTTTGTGATAAAATTCCTGAAAGGGACTCATGCTATATTATGAACTATATATTTCATTTGATTCTTATCAAGTTCAATATTTGAGAACTTACTAATCAAATAAAGATTATTAGGAGTTAGATATTCATTTATTGATTTAAACTTTTATTAGGGCCCAGTTAAAGTCACTCATCTTGTCTTCCTTTATTCTGTTCTGATTGAATTGGAAAAAGTATACTTTTGGTTATATTATTATTTTTGTTTTGGTGATTATTATGTTACTATTCTAAAAAATGGTGTATTAATCTTCCCATGTACAGTACATTTTATTAATTTTTCAATGTTAACTCACTTTATCAACAGAAATAATTGTTTATTCTGGAAATGCTTAAGCTAGTGAAAGTGGCAAATTTTTTAAATTTATTAAGAATTAAAAAATATAATCTAAAATTTTTTCTATGTAAATAAAGTAATATTTAAAATATTATCTGCCAGTCTATAATTATGTAATTATTATCCTTTTAAATAAATTTTCATTAGCCAGGTTCAATGAATATTGTATTTGAGAAAAAATAGTTGGTAGCAAAATTAAGCTACATGTTAAAGGTTTTCTTGGAGCAAGTTGATTTATGTATTTGAGAAAGTACTTGTGATTTACAGATGTTAGATTACTTAGCATAAGTGTAATAACTTTAGTCTAAACTAAACATTTAGAATAGACTAGATTAGTAAAATTATTAATAAGACTCATTGTATTTACTCTACTAAAAAAAATTTTAATGATTTTAATTGATTTTGTCATGAGATATATGCAAAAAATTTCTAAATAAAACTGTACACAGCAATAGAAAATAAATTCTTAGACTTTTTATATTAAACATTTGTAATTGGAAGTCATTATTTAAACCTTAAATACAGTAATTTGAAAATATTCAGATTGCATAGAAACTTCAATTAAACAGCATTTTTTTTTTTTTTTTTTTAACATAAAAATGAAAATTGGAAATGTATCTAACAAATTGAAGTATATACAATGATGATGATTTTAGTAGAATTTTTATCTCTATTATTATATCTGAGCTTTCTGTTTACTGACAGATGATCCTAATTAACTAGATTAGTTTCAAGCTGTAATAATGTGATACCTCACTATTTTATTAGGATATCTAGATACCACAATTGCACATCTGATCTTAATTTTTATTTTCTTACATCCACATCGATTCATGTACTTCCACTCTGAAAAGTTATGTTCAATTTTATTCACTTAAAAGGTAACTCCTATGAATTTATGTGCTGATTTTATGTTAGTTTTTTCTGTATATAGTCATATCTTCATATATAATAACTATTTCATACAAGCAGATTGATATTTTTTAATATATTTTTCAAGCTTTACCTTTTTCAAGAATTTTTTAAAAATTCTATACTAAATGCACTAATTTACTAATATTTATCTTCAAATTTTTTCTTTAGAGGAAATAAAAACCAGATTTTTATATAACTTCAAATACTTTAGTAATTTTTCTTATTACTATAGTTTTTTTAACAAATATTTATATGTATGCATACTATAAAACATTTCTGTATTTAGGAATAAAAATTTTTCTGATCTGATGAAAAAAATATTTGTTTTTTTAATGAATGTAGTCATTATTTTCAAGTTAAAAAATTTAGTTTTTCATAATATGGGTTACCATCGACAGTAATTTCAGCTAACACAGTTTAAAATTTCCTTGTCGCAATAGCAATCTGCTGCTACTGTTTGGGAATGTTCAACATTGTCAGATGTATGATGTCAAAATATTGTAAATTTTGTTGTTAAGAATTTTCATTTATTATTATTATTATTATTATTATTTTTTTTTTTTTATTAACCAACTTGTACTGAATTACAGGGTATTTTAAAGGTAGGATGAGATAGATAGTTAGCTGTTGGTTAGGCTAGAATACACTTAACCCATCAGTAATCCAGCAAAATCACTTATCCATTTATCACTGTATAGATCCTAATAATGCCAGATTAGTGATAGTCAACCTGTGTTTATCAAGTTTGCTTGTTATATTGAAATAGCAACTCTATATATATAAAAAATTACTGTATAAATACAAAGCATTTTTATGGCAAAACTCCATCACTAAATTGATTCTCTAAAAGTAGAAATTTAGCTGCTTGGCTGCAAGTATTTGAAAAAAAACACAAATATCAATATTTAGAATATTGTCATTTTGATATTTAATCTATTTTATTTATATTTTCTTTTTACAAATAATCAAGAATAGTACTATATTGCTAAAATGTCAAAATGATAAAAGCAATTTCCAGATGGTGAATCAAACTTTTTAATTTGTTCTAGAACTCTGAATCAATGCTGTTATTAATGAATAATTTGATTGAATAGTTTGTTATAAAAGTAAAAATTTATTATTTAAAATAAGTACTAAAAATATGGTGTGGATCTTAGACATTTATCTATTGTCTTTCATTAGTTTACAATTACATAACTATTATATAACCTTAAATTTTTAAGCAAAAATATTTACTTGTATAATAAATTAATGTTAAAAATTTTATTTTTTGTTTGCATATTATTTAATCTTAAGTTACTGTATTTTCAAGCATATAACTTGTGGATTATGTTCAAAAGTTAATTTCAAGGTGTGTGGTCATGCAATAGATGAAGTTATAATCCAATTTTAAATTGCAAGTACAAACTTTCATCTAAAGAGCAATGGTTTTCAAAGTTAACAATCTATGGACCACTTAAACCAAGTCACAGATGAACTGTGGACCATTTGTTTTTTCATCCACTTTTTATCCTGTAAATAATGATAGACAAAATATTTTGGTACACAATCTATCCCATAACTTAATATGAGAGAGATGATGCATGACGATATTCTTCTCTGGCTAAGCAGTATAGAATTGTATTTTGGAAAAATTACTAGGTCAAATATAAACATCCAAACCTGATATTTATATACTAAACCCACATGATTGCTGAATTATATCGGACTATATTACTAGTTCTATAATAGTAGTAGTAGTAGTAATAATAATAATCACAGATAAAACAATTTACCACAACAGACCAGACATCACACTCATTGACAAACACAATAAAATCACATACATTATAGACATAGCCATTCCAAACACTCACAATGTACAAAACACATGCACTGAAAAAATTAGCAAGTACACAGAACTCGCCCAGGAAATAAGGCATCTGTGGAAGATGGATAGGGTGCTTATTGTACCTGTCGTTTTCTTCTGTACGGGTGTGATACTACACACACTACACAAAAGCCTGGGAACATTACAATTGAATAGAAATACATACATCACACTACAGAAGGCCACTATATTGAATACATGCCACATTGTTAGGAAATTCCTGAATACAGACACTGCTATACTTATTTAATTTTAGTTTTGTTTTGGTTGCTATGCCTTGACTCTGGTTTGGCATAGTACATAGCCACCGGTGTGAACCGAGTATAACCCACTAAACCCAACACATAATAATAATAGCAGTAATATAGCCAGATATAATTTGTTAGTGGTTTGGCTTAAATATGACTAGGTCAGTCTGTGGACCACTTGATGCATGCTCACAGACAATCAATTCATGGATCATACTTTGAGAACCACTGCTCTACAGCACGTGGATTATACAGAAAGTGTTACACAAAGATTTTTAGTTCTAGCAATTTTTGTGATATATAATATAGCAAGTTTTATGCATGAAAATATAACAGTATGAATATGTAGCTTTT